AATGATAGTGCTCTGTAACTGAATCAACCAAATCACCTTCCAGGTGCCGGAAATCAAAAAACTTTCTGAGTGAAGGATTGTCAGTATCCTCCCAAAAAGCTACAATCAGAAAACGATGTTAATATAGTAAAGCATTAGCATAAAAAAGTGTATAGACGGTTTTCCTTACTAGGGTATTTAGAGCATTGAGACAATCGGGGTGAAGATGCATAATATCAATGTGTTTAAAAAATTATTTTCGATACTATTTTTAGATTACGAATATTACGAATTAATTTGTAAGACAAGAATTATTAACAGTCACAGTCAGACAAGATTTCACACGATCGACAAGTCTACTGTCATAGCCAGTGTTGTACATGGGACATGTCCGCCTAATATTGAGCGGACATGGACACTGTCCAAAAATGTCCGCGTAACAATTTGCCACGCGGATGTGTCCGCTCATTTTCTTAAATGTCCCGGACTGTCCGGGACCAGTAGTACAAACCACAAGTTAAACGTGAGAAAATGCCTTTACCACCTTTATTAACTCAACATATTATTAAAACAATATAAAACTAAACCAAATCGATTCAAAAATGTTTTGTAAACATGCGTTGAAAAATTAGGAGAGGAGGAAGGGAAGAAAAAATGGTTTCCAAACAAAAAGGATCGAATAATTCGGCATTTAATTAATTAAATGATTCTATATTAATAATTTAGAGCCTTGCTTTGACAGACTCTAAACCAATTAGACATTATCCCGGAAGAAATAGAGAGAATGTTGAAAGCTGGATTTATTCGTGAATCAAATAGTGATTATGTTTCATGAGTAGTGTTGGCAGAAAAGAAGATAATGAATTACGGTTCTGTGTAGATTATTGAGATCTGAATAAAAATACTAAAAAGGTTTCTTACCCATTACCTAGAATTGATGACATATTGAAAACATTGCACGAGTCACAATGGTTCTCTTCATTGGACTTGGCTAGTGGATATTAGCAATCAGAAATGAAACCCGAAGATATTCCTAAGACTGCCTTTATCACCCATTATGGATTATTTGAGTTCAGTGTAATGCATCTTGGATTAACTAACGTCCTTCGGGACATGCTGTGGAAACCAGTGGTAATATAATTGCGTGATGTAATATACACTTTAAGACATGAGAAGAATATCCACAACATTTGGAAATGTTTTCAAATGTATCAAGATAGCTGGATTGAAATTAAGTCCAAAGAAAAATTTTTAGGACATATAATAATAGAAAAGGATGGAATAAAAATGGACTCGGCAAAAATATAAAAGGTAGAAAACTTTCCTATACCAATTAATGTCGCTCGAGTACTTTGAACACCCTTAACAGAACTCTTGAAGAAAAGAGAAACAAGAAGATTTAAGAATACAGTTGACCACAGAACCAATCCTAACTAGAAGAAACCATTCGTATTAGCAACTGATGCTTCAAATTTTGCATTAAGAGCTATCCTAGCACAAGTAGATGATCATGGAGACGAAAAAGTAATTACTTATACTGGGAGAAAAGAATTATTCAGTTATGGAACTAGAATGTCTCGGGATCATTTGGACAATTAGACATTTTCACTCTTATATTAGCGGATCATAATTAATTACAGATCATGCAACGTTATGTCAACAACTGTTCTTGGATAGTCTTTTAGAGGAAGATACAATTTTCATTTTGCAGGAACTCAATTCTGATAGAGTGATGTTATCGGAATTAGAATTCAACACTGGCTCGTTGACCGAAAACATTCTAGTTCTGAATTGAATTATTTTATTTTATGTATGCATTGCATTTCCGATTGTTATATTGTCAAATTCGATGTACTTGAAAAATAACTTTGTGATAAAATTTAATAAATATTAACTAAAAAATTAATTTCGACTAAATAAGATAAACCAAACAAAATTATTCGCTAATAAAACTAACTCGTTAGTAATAACCAGTCTGATAAATTTACGTTTGTTAATATTAATTAACCATTTAAAATTTCTTTTATTATAATTCACATTGATCAATGTAATTAATTACACAAGCATGACTGGGATAAAATTGCATCGTATGAGTTTAACTTTGTCGTTCATAATGATCTCTATATTTATGTTCATTAAGTTCATGTTTGGTAACAAATTGTTCGTCACATCCAAATACATTACATGGATGATTCTTTATTCCATGATAAAATCTTTTGTGTCTTAGTAAATCTCCTCTTCGAAAAAACGCTTTTACACATCCTAAACATTCGCATTTGAATTTTTTATTCCAAGATGATGTTTTGCATGTATTTGAAAATCACCTTTTCGATAAAAAGCACTTGTACATCCCGGATATTCACATTTGAAATTTCTTATTCCAAAATGATGTTTTGTATGAATTGTTAATCCTCCTTTTTCACGAAATGCTTTGCCACATCCTGGATATTCACACTTGAAATTTTTTATTCCAAGATGAATACTATTATTGTGTTTATGTAAATTACTTTTATTGGAAAATACTTTGTCACATCCTCGGTATTCACATTTGTAATTTTTTATTGCAAGATGATGACATTTCGTGTGTCTTAGTAAATCTTCTTTTCGATAAAACATTTTTACACATCCTTGATATTCACATTTGAAATTTCTTATTCCAGTGACGTTTTGTATGTATATATATAGTAATAAATTACTTTTTTTACAATATGATTTGTCACATCCTGGATACTCGCATTTGAAATTTTTGTTACTGCGAATTTTACTATGTTTGTTAAGTGTAAATCTAGACTTGTAAAATTTACCGCTGCACAAAAAAATCTATTGTTACTTTTATTTTTATTTACCATCCTCATTGCCAAGATTATTATTATAATCTTATCTTCATATATTTCAATTTCACTATCACCATTTGAATCATATTCACTTAAATTCTCATTATTATTATTGTTATTATGATGATTTTTTGTTTTTATCATCATTATTATCAATATATACCCAACAATCTATTAAAACAACCAAATATGAATATAAATAAATAAAAATAACACGAACTTATTAATTTTTTTAAAAAAATTAATATACACGTATACCATTTAAATTCATTTTTTAAAAACAAAATATGGATAATTGGATAAATTAAAATACTAAATAAATATCACACATTATAAAGGCATCTGACTACTAATTATTATCCTTCAATCCAAATTTTGAAGTTCAGATTTGGTGCAAGGTGTGTGCTTGTAAAATTACTTCATTGGCAAAACGCTCTGGATATCCACATTTGAAATTGTTTTATTCCCAAGATAATGTATATAGAAAGGGACCAAATGACAAAGAAAGTCTGAATGAAATTTTGAATTTTCTCAAGCGTAATGGGTATAGTTTCTAAGCTCAAAATGTTCTTTGTTAAAAATTGTTGGAAGTTACGTTTGGTCCCCTTTCTATAAAAAAATATCCATGACAAAATGTTTTTGCACATCTGATTTATTCAAGATGATGTTTTGTGTGTCACTATTTTGATAAAAAGCTTTTTGTACATCATGAATACTCACATTTGAAACGTTTTATTCCAAGATGACATCATTGAATTAATACATTTAGAAAATTAACAGACAAGTGAATCTATTTATGAGAACAGAACAACCATGTTATTTATTGATGAAGATGAACAGATAGGAAAAAAGCCCTAATGGTGCATTTAGCATGACCTTTGAGGGAATTAAGAGATTAGATAAAGGTGAAAAGCATCCGAAGATTACTTGTGGACAATTCTTAAATAATTTGTGGTTATTATGAAAGTGTTGAATTAAATTTTATGCATACCAAATTCAATTATGATGGTAGTTTTAGATATCGAAAGACAACAATTGACCGTGTGGATTATAAACTTTATTTTAAAAAGTTGGAAAAATTTCAGCATTTTTTTTTTTGAACCATCTAATCCTGGTGTTGGTAAAAGCTCAGGGGATCATCTCCCACAAGGTCGTTTCATAATTCTTTCCGAACCTTTTTTTTTTATCGCCCTACAAAAGTCGCAATACATAATTTTCATTGTGACTGCATTATTTTCAATTAACACATTATTATAAATGTTCAAAGACAACAGTTTGATATACATTATTAAGTTTTCGAGTTCAGTGTTCAACAAACACAGCTCGAACTTGATGAAGCATTTCATCCCAGTCCATTTAGCAAAAAATGTCGTATCAGTTAAATCTAAGATGTAGCTTTTGGACGCACCATTCATAATTGGCAGGATAGAGTAAGCAATGGGCACAATATTTTAATGATAATCGCAAAATCATGTATTTGCCGGTCATTTGTGAGTTGTTTAATTTTATCTCGAAACTTAAAATCCAATTATTATGATTATTATTTTCCTGTGGGTTGGAATTGGATCAATATCAAAACAGTCATGAGCACATTTACTTATTACTTATCTTGTTTTACAATGATTTTCTGAGAAAAGGTTAGGGTCTTAATCTAGTCGCCTCAAAATAATATCTTTTGCATGCATAATGGAAATTTGATTTTATTGAGCAATAATTATTATTTATAATATCAACATTACTGTTTCATCCCCATGCTACTGCCACCGTCTCTGCTTTTAATATACTACTTCTATTGAGACAATTATGTTTAAAGGTTAAAATAACGAAATGATATATCTATTAACGTTATTAGATAAAATTACCGTAAAGTCTGGAAAGATAGCATCCCCTTTTTTACATATGTGTAACATTTTTTTAATATTGACGCTCAATTGTTTTAAAGTAGGGGGTGCTATCTTTCGGGGGGATGCTATCCTTCCAGACTTTACGGTATTATTATCTTTGCCTGATTAATATATATATACTGTATATACACATATAATAGAGAGTAGAAAAAAGGATGTAATTGATCAATCTAATTTAAACGAAAAAATATGCATTTAATTGACTAGTTATAATCTCTCAAATATAACTTTTTTTTGGAAAGAATTAATTCATTATTATTGAAAGAAAAAAATTTTAAAGTAATTATTTAATTTCCATTAGTTTTACATCAAATTCTAATGTTGCATTTTTAGGAACTTCTAATTAAAATATACAAATAAATAATTTATTATTATTAACAATTGAATTATTTATTACCCTGTCTATAATTAAGCAATAATAATAAAAAAATTTATTTGTTGTTTTTTAATACTTACTTGGAGGAAGACCTTTATCAGCATATGCAAGTGCAGGTGGAACCACTAATTTCCTTTCACCACCAACGCACATTCCATTCATTCCTATATCCCAACCTTAAATCAACAAAAAAATAAATAATAATTTTAAAAATCAAATCAAATTAATCAGACAAACGTGATTGATTTACCTCTAATGACTTGACCTTTTCCCAAAGTAAAATAAAACAATTTCGTTCCGACCATATTTGAATCAAATATATGGCCATTCGCATTCAAACGTCCTATAAAACGAACTCCGACCTGTTTATTATAAAAAATTTGGCATGAATACTGTAAATATTGTGTTTATAAATATATATATATAAAATAAAATATTAATTACCGTTTTTCCTGCAGTGGCTTGTTCTCCTTGTCCAATTTTAATATCAATAACTGAAACATCATTAACATTTCTAGTATTTCCCTAAATACATTCATTTGATTAGGCATTTAACATGTATACAACCAACCAATCATTAATCAATTTTACCTCTTGACGTTTTAAACTTTTATCATTTGTTGATTTAGGTAATTTGGGTGATTTAGATGATTTGGGTGATTTAGATGATTTGGGCGATTTGAGTGATTTGGGTGATTTAGATGATTTGGGCGATTTAGATGAACCGGCTTCATTTTTCTCCTCATCATTTGTTGACAAATTACCATTCTTTTTTTGTGCACCTTTTTTCTTTTTTTGCTTTTTATTATCAGCGAGTTTTTGATCGGGGCTTTCTTTTTCATTATTCTTTTGATTGGTTGGATTTGCTTGTCCTTGTTTCACCTGAATTTCCTTTTGATTTATGTTTTGACTTATATTCGTTACGTCAGCTTGTAAGTTTGACTTTTTACCAATTTTCACTATCATATTATCATCGTTTTTGTCTTTTTCATCCAAATCATTTGAACTTTTGACTTTGACGTCATCATCATTTGAATGATCGCTTGTTTCAACACCTAGTTCATCATCTGAATTATCGCTTGAATCATCATCTGAACTATCATACAAATAATCTGAATCTGAAGAGTCGGAATCTTCGATCATTTCATATTGATCAGGGTTATTTTTCTAAATTTTTTAAAGAATTATTAAAATGTAAATCACCAGATATTAATATACGTAAATGCATCAATATTTTTTAATTAAAGAAAATTTTTACCATTTTAACATCACCATCATCTTCAATTTCAATAATAACAATATCCTCATTATTAGTCTTTCGTTTTTTCACTTTTTTCTCTTCACTACTATCTTCTTCAACATTAATAACACTTTTGTTATCATTAACATTATTATTATTATTATCATCATCATCATCGTTATTATTACTATTATTATCATCATTATTACTGATGATGTTGTCATTGTTATTAACATTATTGCTTTTCTTATTATCAACATTATTATTGCCATAATCATAATCATTATTATTAACATTCGATTTCAAATTATTAGCATCATTAGTTATATTATTAACATTTGATGAATCATTTGTGTTTAAGGCATCAATTGACCTCTTTAAATTTCTCTTTTCCTTTTCAATTCCTTCACTTCTATTCTCGACATTTGTTTCACCATTAACTTTCTCTTTTGCAAGTGGTGGTGCCTTTGGAATTTGTTCAACTTCAGGTAAATCATTTAAGCAATTAGATTGATTAGCGGGCTCATTAAATTTTGATGTTGTAAGTGATGGTGACGCTGGTGATGATGCTGGCTTTGATAATTTGCCTTTATTTACTGTTATTGGCACTGGATCATTTTCGTAGGGTAGTTGAAGGAATTGAACGTAATTACCAGTCAAATGTATTTTGCTTGAAATTTTTTTTTTTAAATTTAAATATAAATATATCACATGTATATAAAAATATTAATCTAATATTAATAATAATAATAATAATAATAATTACTTGTTTCCTTCAACATAAATGGTAACAGTTTCACCAAGGAGAACAGAATGATTCAAAAGTTGTTGTTCTATCTAAAGATTGATCAATCAACATTGACATTAACGATGAGATATCATTAACGTTAAAATTCATATTTAAAAATTTGTATCTTAAAACAAATAAATATTTATAGAAACTAAAGTTACCACTCCTGGTATCAAGTTACATAGTACAAAGCGCGAAGAATTATTACGAACGATAATAACCGATGTTCTCTTATTATCCACTAACTTTGAATCAAAAGCTACCTACATCAGTTAATAACCATGTATGTTAATATAATAAGAAAAAGAAAAGGATGGTGTAGAAATTCATTAATACAAACCATTGTAATTGTGTAATTACATGGAGCCTTTTGAGTATAACGGTTACCACTGGCAACTTCAAGTCCTGTGAAGGAAGATTAAATTGCCAGAATTAATTTTGCATTACTATATATTTATATTATGAGAAGATTATTATTAGTCTTTACCCCAAAAACCAATCGGTTTACTCATTTTTATTATAAATAAATAAAAGTTTCTTTTATTATTATTATTAGATAGATAGATATATCCTCACATGATTCACATGATTAAAGTCCGAGAAAAAAATGCTACACAAAATGTTGATCGTAAATTACTAATTATAACGTAAAAAAAGAAGTCGGCGATGGCAGCCGCACAATTTCTTTTCCTTTGAGTTGTATATTGTACAAATAATTAGCAATATAGTAATTTTTCTGCAATAGAAAGAAATGATATTTATCATAGAGGCCTGGGCCTTGTTTTATTTCCAAAAATAATTTCTAAACATTTCGTTCAAAAACTGTTTTATTGGATATTAATAAAATAAAATAAAATAAAATAAAATAAAATAAATAAAAAAAGTAAACCGTTTGTTTTTACAACCTGATATAAATTATATTTTTACTACAAAATTGAGAATATCAAATTTAATAATAACATACATATTTGGTTGCTAAGGCTCTGTAACAAATAAAATAAATAAGCTATAGAAAAAACAAAAAAATGATAGAATTAATCTTAAAGAATAGAAAGATATTTTGTTCCCAAAACTAGAAAGACCATCAACTTGTAATTCGAACAAAATTTAACAACTATGATTATATTTGCGTCTTAACTTGATGAAATCTTGTTCCAATTCAGTATATTGTTGATTTATCGTCATAATAGAATCTTTAATCATCGAGAAACGACCAGAGATTCTTAAAATTAAAAGGTCATTATCATTATTATAAATTGTAGGTGATGACGTAAACAAGTTATAAAGAGGTTGTTGTTGTTGTTGTTGAGGCAAAGCTTGGGTTGTCATCATCACGTTGTTATGGTTTTGGTTATACTGACCATAACTTTGAATTTGCTGGTGGACGTAATTTTGAGCTTGCTGAATTTGCTGTCCATAACTTTGTTGAGCTAGATTTTGAGGGCGTTGCTGAGAAATATCGGAATTTTGAATCGGTTGAAGAAGAACTTGATCGAGACTTGTAATTTGTTGGAATTGTTGACTATCTTGGTTTTGGTTTTGTTGATAATTAAAAGTCATTTTGTTTTATTTGTGTTTATAAAGTTTTTATTAAAAAAAAAAAAAAGAAAATGATAAAGCCAACTCATTTATACAAAAAACCTCCCAAGTGGTGACAATTTTATTAAACAGGTTTGTCCAATAATCACCATCTAAAAAAATTCAATATTTATTATTCCAACTTTGTATTTGTTTGTACAACAGAGATTTACTCTGGAATCCTCAAGTTTGACAGATTACAGTCAAGTATTTTACCAAATTTGGAAATCGAATCTAGAAAAATTGGAACCCCCTTGTTGAAGCATAATGGACACTCATTTTATCACTTTGTGACAAAATCGACTGTTGATCTTTTTTATGTTGTGAAACATGTGATTTCAATTGTTTTAAAATAGAAAAAGGAGTACGCGTATACAAAAAATTATCATTAAGGTAGATATTACTTTTTTTGCACAGAAACATTCTTTATATTTGTCTTTACTAGTGGGTTAAATAAGATCAAAAGATCATCTCTAGATCAAAAGTTAGATGAGAACTAAATTTTGAAATAAAGACTACACATATGCAAACGTTTTATTTGAATTAAAATAATTTTAGTCTTATTTTCAGAAACATATTTTCAGTAAATGCAAGGAAATATTTTGCCTTCAAGTTTTCCAATTAAAGTAGGTAGTCAAACAAATTTATTAACTTGGTGATATTATTTTATTATTTTTAATTTTTTTAAATGGGTTTTGAAAGCAAGAAAACTTAATTAATTGAAACATCATTTTAATATTTAGGCGAACATATTCTTTTCCATGTTAACTTGCATATTCAATGGTTGATTTGTCGAGATAATGGTTATTGGGTATTGTTTATTATCATTTTATCATTTTATCATTTTATCATTTTATCATTTTATTACTTTAATTTTTAGAT